AGAAATATAACACAACTTTGTTTTTTTAAAGCGGTTGTTCTAAATGTGATCGTTAGACTCTAAGAAATGTCTGGTTCTCAACCACTTTATGAAAGTTGTCTGGAACAAAACCTTGTATCTTTAGGGGGAATCCTAGGTGAGCCTGTCCTTTATATTATGTTTGTGAGAACCAGACATTTCTTAGAGTCTAACGATCACGTTTAGAACAACCACTTTAAAAAAACAAAGTTGTGTTATATTTCCCTATCTCCAACCATTAAACGGTTAATAGAGTTGTTGTGATGGATATTTCTATCTCCATCCATTAGACAGTTAATAGAGTAGTTGTGATGGATATTTCTATCTCCAACCATTAGGCGGTTAATAGAGTAGTTGTGATGGATATTTCTATCTCCATCCATTAAATAGTTAATAAATTTTTTTCTCTTTCTCTCTACATTAGGACCTGAAGCTAGTCCAGATGGAGTTGAAGTAACATTTCATACAGTGGAAGTCAGACGTGTGGTTGGTGGTGTCAACACCCTGGTTGGGAACAATGAAGGCAGTATGGTGAGCTGAGTTAATTTTATAATATTAAACCAGGGATGTATTTTCATGTAATATTTTGGTTTCGTGTTATGGTTTATCTGGTTTCAACAACCCAGTTGTAAACAACGGTGACAGTATGGTTAGTTAATTTTATAATAATAAATCAGGTATATCTCCATAGAATGTTTAGGTTTTGTGCCATTGTTCCTACATAGGTTGATATAAGTAGAACCTTTGATTCTGTTTATCTGCATATTATTAAGTTCAAATGCACTTTTTTGATTTACCAGGTAGTTGGGATGAAGTTACCAAATCTGGGAGGCCGGGGAGAAAACCTTCAAGCAGAGTATCAGTATGGTACGAAGCGTTCATATGGCTTCAATGCAACTGTGACAAAACCTTTTATCTTTAGGGGGAATCCTAGGTGAGCCTGTCCTTTATATTATGTTTGTAGATACGTCGGACAACTTTCATTAAGTGGTTAAATATCCATCACAACTACTCTATTAACTGTCTAATGGTTGGAGATAGAAATATCCATCACAACTACTCTATTAACTGTCTAATGGATGGAGATAGAAATATCCATCACAACTACTCTATTAACTGTCTAATGGATGGAGATAGAAATATCCATCACAACTACTCTATTAACTGTCTAATGGTTGGAGATAGAAATATCCATCACAACTACTCTATTAACCGTTTAATGGATGGAGATAGAAATATCCATCACAACTACTCTATTAACTGTCTAATGGTTGGAGATAGAAATATCCTTACATTAGACAGACATATCATGTCCAGCTTGGTGTCAGTTTCATACAATGTTCTTGTATACTGTCCTCACTAGAGTCCTGTCTGTTGTACTTTGTGTATTGTTACAGTAGACAGACATAGCATGTCCAGCTTGGTGTCAGTTTCATACAATGTTCTTGTGTACTGTCCTCACTAGAGTCCTGTCTGTTGTACTTTGTGTATTGTTACAGTAGACAGACATATCATGTCCAGATTGATGACACTAGTCCTGTCTGCTGTGCTTCGTGAATTTTTACAGTAGACAGACATGGCATGTCGAGGCTTGTCGATAGTTTCATACAGCATTTTTATTAGAGTAATTATATATATATTTTAATAGACATGCTTGTTGAAAGTTTCATATTTTGCTGTGTGATGTAACATTTTATAAGACTGTAATAGTAATCACTGTTGTTCTTAATAATCTTTCCACACATTTTAAAGCACACATAATAAAAAGTTCCAAATATGGTCCATCAACCTGTGTTTATGTTTTTGTTGCCCATACTTTTATAGTTAGTCATAATCTTACAAGAAAACCAGTACTGTCTAAAATTTGCTAATAGCATAAGATTTGGAATTCATAGTTTGGGCTTCATAAAATGAATTTTTTCTTTCAACTAAATATCAGTAGCAGGACATTTTTTTTTCTTCTTTGTTTGGTAAGCTGTAACCCAGCTGACATTTGAAGGTGACCCCTAAGATTATTGGATAGCATATAAGATGAAATTAATATCATCTTGTATTCTCTTATGGTCTTTCTTACTTCGTGTGCGATATTATTCATAGAATTTTTTTTTTCGTTTGTCTGTTTAAGCAAGATTAGAAAGTAGCACTGTATAGAATCAAACATGTTTTAATAGAATGTAGAATACAGTACTTTAGATATATTAGAAATAATGATACAAGAAAAATTACATGGTTATTGATACTAATTAATGGAAATTTTGACATGTATGAAGTTATCTTAACCCTTTGGAGGGTAGTGACACGTATATCAGTACATCTCTCTTTACCAAATATAAGAATTACACATGACTGAAGAGTGTCATATCTACTAAAGTTGTGATGGATATTTCTATCTCCATCCATTAAACAGTTAATAGAGTAGTTGTGATGGATATTTCTATCTCCAATTATTAAACGGTTAATAGAGTAGTTGTGATGGATATTTCTATCTCCATCCATTAGACAGTTAATAGAGTAGTTGTGATGGATATTTCTATCTCCAATTATTAAACGGTTAATAGAGTAGTTGTGATGGATATTTCTATCTCCAACCATTAAACGGTTAATAGAGTAGTTGTGATGGATATTTCTATCTCCATCCATTAGACGGTTAATAGAGTAGCTGTGATGGATATTTCTATCTCCAACCATTAGACAGTTAATAGAGTAGTTGTGATGGATATTTCTATCTCCAACCATTAAACGGTTAATAGAGTAGGTGTGATTGTTCTTGTATACTGTCCTCACTAGAGTCCTGTCTGTTGTACTTTGTGTATTGTTACAGTAGACAGACATAGCATGTCCAGCTTGGTGTCAGTTTCATACAATGTTCTTGTATACTGTCCTCACTAGAGTCCTGTCTGTTGTACTTTGTGTATTGGTTGGGTTCATGCAGCTACTGAGTTCATGTTGTTATAATGTGGAACTGGGTATGATAAGTTACATAGTTGGGTTCATGCAGCCAATGAGTACATGTTGTTATAATGTGGAACTGGGTATGATAAGCTACATAGTTGGGTTCATGCAGCCAATGAGTACATGTTGTTATAATGTGGAACTGGGTATGATAAGTTACATAGTTGGTCTTGTGGAACACCAGTAGGTACATGTTGTATGAATTTGTTAATTTGCATATTTCAGCACATGGAGCTATTAGATATACATCATTATAATGTGAAACTAAACATGTTTCTGTGAATCAATAAGGAGCATCCACTAGTAAATGTATGCTGTCTATTTCTAGACCCACTATTTTGGATATCATCCATCTCAGTTCACTCGTTTTTCTTACTGACTTTTCTCACATTATTTATGTAGTAAAACTTAATCCAGTGGAAAGGACGAAGTGACTATAATTTTATTTGTTGAAATGAATTATTACAACACATTTATTAAATTACAATTACAACAGTACTAATGGTGATTAACACAGAATATTTAGTGCTTTAGACAAGCTCATTGTTTTCATATGTTAAGTTAAAGTCACACAAACTCGTGGATCAATGTATCATCTCTCACATAAAGTATATGCAAACACTTTATGACGAGTGTAAAATAAACAGTTTAAAATTGTTGTCAGGTCGTGCCCAAAAAAACTGGAATCAAAATTACTTGGTGAAAAAAACCATTATACACATAATCATTAAATTTGAATAGTATATCTTGTATGCAGGTAGCAAACTGACATCATGTGTTTTTCATGCCACACTACAGTTTTATTTTGAATCCAATGAATAGCTCACTTCAGATATTTTGCACGCACATGTTGAAAACTTACGTACAAGATATTTAAACTTCGCTCCCAGTCTGTGACTGAATGATACAGTTGCATATAAATTGTAGCTATATTGTAGACTAATGTGAAAACTTTAAAGCTATTGGTGGAGATAATCAAAAATTATCCATACTTTAGAATTCTGTACCTTCGGTAGGTTCTTGTTAAAGCTCAGGATGTCAAACAACAACTGGAACTCTTAGGAGCTTTCAAGCATATTGGAATCTACATTGATACAAGTAAAGGTATGTAAAGACTTGTTTTTTTTCTTCTTTAGAGAGACTTTATTGTCATTCCTACAAAATTACACCAGTATCTATAAGCATTCAAAGTTTTATCTAATAATATAAAATAAGCATAGTAATATACTAATGGACTAAAACAAGGTTGTGTGGTGTATAAATACTGACATTTAGATGTGATACTGTGTCCTGAAGATATGTGACATTCAACCATGGTTTGTCACTTCTCTTGCATGTATTGTTACAGTAGACAGACATAGCATGTCCAGCTTGGTGTCAGTTTCATACGATATGTAGCTTATCATACCCAGTTCCACATTATAACAACATGTACTCATTGGCTGCATGAACCCAACTATGTAACTTATCATACCCAGTTCCACATTATAACAACATGAACCTACTGGCTGCATGAACCCAACTATGTAACTTATCATACCCAGTTCCACATTATAACAACATGCACCTACTGGCTGCATGAACCCAACTATGTAGCTTATCATACCCAGTTCCACATTATAACAACATGCACCTACTGACTGCATGAACCCAACTATGTAACTTTTCATATTTAGATCCAGGTTCCAATGAGATGAACCTACTGGCTCCATCAGCTGAAATATGAAAATTATTATACTTAGATCACATTATAAAAACATGCACTCACTGTCTCCATGAAGCTAACTATGCAACTTCTCATACTGAGATCTACTTTCCAATGACATAAACCCACTGACTCTATGAGATCAACTATGTAACTTATGATATTGTTGCATATCTGCTTGTTTGTTAATTTTCGGTATAAATTCTTTCTGAGGAACTTCAGCGATACAAGTCCTTTCTTAATTAAAACTAGTTTATTCGTTCTCGATACAACATAGAATTACCACATTCACTTTAAACTTAACAACCTTGATAACACATGCTATAAATCGAAGTGTTCACACACTTTACTTACAGTTCACTTGACTCATTTATCTATCTCTTTAATCTATCTGCCCCATCACACTGGTTTTTCCCGCCAGGCTTATATACTAAAAAAGAGGGTGTCTCAAACAAACTAGAGTTGCCAGGAAAATTCAAGATCCTTC